CTAGAATGAATACCACTACTATGAGGATGGTTGTATGTTATGTATTTCAATAGCAGATGTTAAAATGTCCCATTTACAGGCCTTGCTACCAATCTTGGTGCCTTGGACTACATATATGCCAAATTCCCACTATTTGTTGTAGAAATACCTTGACAATTTTGATTACCCTACCAATCCTTAAGTGAGGCTCAAACTGCTTTATGCATATATAATGATTTAACATACACATCAACATGTAGCTTAATGGACATTCTACTCAATTGTGACTCCTGGTTCTTATTTCCAAAAATTAAAACTGCAAAAAATTCTCCTTCACATTTTAGCACGTTATAGTGGTTAGAGTGTCAGACTAGGATTTGGGAGACCCATGTTCGAATTCCTACTCTGCCAAGGCGGCTTTCTGAGTGATCTTGAGCTAGTCACACATTCTCAGCATAACCTACCTCACAGGGCTGTGGTAATAAAATGGAGGAGACAAAAACAATGTAAGCTGCTTTGGGTCCCCACTGGTGAGAAAGGCAAGCTATAAATTAAGTTAAATAGTTAAAAATAACTGACATTATCTTCTATCCAAAATAGCCTGTTTCCTCTGTCCTGTCCTCCAACTATTGTAGTTTGTGCTCTTGTCTCAACTTTAAATCTTCTAATTCTTTTTTTCTCATGTACAATATTTTTCAGCATCATTATCCAAAGATACTTTTATAGCAATAGGAGTCTGCATTTGCTCAGTGCAATAGTGCATTGTGTAACTTAGCAAATGACTGACACAGGAATTAGCAAGAGTCCAGGAGTACCTTAAAGACTAACAAAATATGTGGCAGGGTATGAGCTTTCATGAGTCATCACAAAAGCTCATGCCCTGCCACATATTTTGTTAGTCTTTAAGGTGCTACTGGACTCTTGCTGTTTTCTGCTGCTACAGACAGACTAACACGGCTAACCATCTTGATCTGACACAGGAATTGTGTAACTTAGAAATGACTGACACAGTGGAGTTGCTTTTATGAAGATGAAGATGCATTCACCTGCTGGAGTTGTGCTTTTGAGATGCGAATGACAGGGGGGAACTTGTTTCCACTGGGAATAACAGGAAGTTGCCTACGGGCAGCTGACCAGGAAGAAGAAGAGTGGCTCTCTGCTGACTGACTCCTTGGAAAGCCAACCTCTTTCTTAGGTTCCAGGTAGGTGGTGAGATGGGATATAGGGCTCAAGGTACGGAGAATGGGACTTGAAATTCTTGGGGTGGAGAAATGCAGCATGTGAGGTGAGTAGAGCTGTGAGAACAACAACATGGCAAGGAAAAGAAAATGATGCAAATATTATATTAAGAACACTTAAGACTGGTTACTGCATGTAGTTTTATAGGTCACTTCCACTGATATTCTAAAGAATAACCACTGGCAATGTTAAATATTTGTGGTGGAAAAAACAGATAATTATGTCATTATCCCTTCTTGAAGTAAAGCTTGCCTTCCACATTTCATTTGATCCCTCTGAAAGTGCAAATTCAGAATGTTTACAGAATGAAACTCTTTGCAGTAGCACGAGACAAGATGATTGTTATATTGACCCTTGTTTAACTAGCATAGTAACAGAATGGTGTAATTTACTGGTATGCTCCAGGATTGTTAAAATACTCCTCAAAAAATGGACTGGGAATTTCAAAATCATGGCATGAAATAAAGAGGTTACAATGAATTACACAATATGGGGATTAGGAATTCTATTTGTGCACATATTAAACCTGCACTAAAAACATTATCTTAGACATAAACATTACTGCAATCTCTATATAAATTCTAGCCCAACAATTTTATGCTTCATTTTGTTCCACATAAAGTTGTTGTTTGGGGTGTTTATTAATAAACTCCCCGTTGCTCAGGGTTAGTCTCTCCATACTAAATGCTCTGTTGAAACAGACTCAGACTAGCTGGACCACTGGACTCAAACTTTGTTCTCAGACTAGCAGTGCAATCCTAAATAAAATCACACCCTTCTAAATCCATTATAGTCGATGGATTTGGAAGGGTACAACTCTGCTTAAAATAGCACTGTAAACCTGACAAAGTGTGCAATATCCTAATGTCATCTAGTATATTTTGAACATGGTAATTTTGAATCAAAGTATTACCATCTTGTGAAACTTGTGGAATTTTAATGTGTGGGAGTTAATTTTAATTCTTCTTCTTGCTTGATGTGGTGGTTGAGAATTTTGCTGAGATTTGTGCTAGTCTATGACCATATTAATAAAGACTTGTGGAATTTCATATTTTCAAGATGGCATCCATCAAAACAAAAATATATACATAATTTAGCTTCTACAAAATCTAGGGAAAATAATTTCTGTCTAAGTGTAGATTTTGGCCTACAAGAAATTAATTTCTGAAACTTCCCAACATATGGAATCACTTATTAAGCAAGAATGAAATATAGTTATTACGGAGTATAACTTAACATCATGCTTCAATGACGTACAAATATAATTTACTATTGATATGCTGAAAAGAACACAGTTGTTGGCAAACATACACATTAGTGGCATTAGGCAAATCAAAACAAGTAATAAGAGACAAAATTATGAAACAATAGCTTTCCATTTCTCACAGAAGCAGCAGTTAACACGTTGCAGAAATCTGTACAAACCTTACACTACATATCTAGCCTTCTTCACTGTCCTCATCACTAAAAGCAGAATTGTTCCATTTATTTTTGCACTTGTTTGTACTGGAACATCTGGAACAACCCATATCACAGTGGCATCTTCTAATCAAACACAGCAGCAGTGTTCAGCAGCAGTGTTCCAAGTCAGTCTTCAAAGCCTCACTGAGTGCTGCTTCAGTCAGTGATAGTGCCAAAATAAGGGGCAAGATATTGATAACCCTTTTTCCCACTCAAAGCATGTAGGCTCCATATCTTGATTCATTGCTGCTATTCAAACACAAGACTCGGTGTGCTCCCTTTTAATATTTTCCTCAATGGCACATGAACTTAGAGGCAAAGATTTCAGTTCTAATGCTGCATATACTTTTTGGCTTCCAGTTACAGTTAGCCAAACATCATACTGTATCTTAGATATGCTAGACAACCTCCTACTATGTGTGCAGAAGACACATATGCCCCTCCATTTTGCAGCTCCCTCCAGGGTCACAAGATCCACACAGAGAAATAGTCTTGAGTGTTGGAGGGCTGGGGGAAGAAGGGACAAGGAGATGAAACTGTCCTCTCCTGTTAGTGGAGCTACTCATGCAGAACAGAAAGGAGCACCAGCCCCCAAGTAGCACAGATATTCCTCACTAGAGTCTTGAGACCAATCCCTCTACATGTCAGAAAGAGCAGCTGCATCACAGGAGAATTATGCCTTCTGTACCTGGAATAGTAAAATACTACCCCACTGCTCTTTATTTCCATAGCATACAGATACAGATACAAATTGATCAATGATATTTAACATACTGGCATTAATCTCCCCAATGCTGGAAAGCTTCAGAACTTTATTTTTATTACTGATACCTCAGTGGCAATAACTGCTCTTGTTGCACAGTGCCTGTCTTCAAGAATGTGAATACTCAGGTCCTTTTCCTTTTGGCAGGGTTTACTGGATGCCATCTTGAATATATCAGTTTCTCCAACAGTGTCTAGATGGCATCACTCAGAATCAGTCAGCATAATCAAAATATTAAAATTACATGAGACCATTATACACCACACTTTGAGGGTTAGAGCCAAAAACACAGCTTCCAGACATGTGCTCCAAACAGATCAAGCCAACCCCTTAAAGGTAGGATAAACTCCCTCCCCCATGAAGAACAAACTACCCATGCCACTTTTGTCATGGGCTACATTCGATTCTTAACAGCTAACCATGATTTGTTGTTATGGAAGTGAGCCTTGGAAGTATTTGGTTCTGTCACATCATCCCCCCCCCCCCCCCCCCAATGGTTTCTGAATGCAAAAATGTTTGTTTTTGTATCTGAATCACAACCTACGTTTCTTTTTCTCTCTTGCCTACAAACCAAGATAGGTTTATAGACAAGAGAACAAACCATAATTTGTGGTTCAGACTTAACATGTAGCTTATTGGGAATCCCCACATCTTCAGTTGTTGAGCCATACACAAGGAGAGAGAAGGGAAGGAGTAAAGAGGACATGTGGAAGCCTGAGGACTTCCAAAGCTAGTTCTCACATCTTGTCAGTGGGTCTGACTATTGCCTCTCTTAGAAATTACACTAGAATCTATGTTAACCATGGATACATTCAGTTTGGCTGGGAGAAAAACTCACATAGGTCCTAGGGGTGGCAACAACCACAGGTTGTTGGCAGGCAGAGAGGGCAGCCTCCTCAGAATAGACTAAGAACTGGGACCAAGCGAAGGAGGGGTGAAACAGTGGACTGATGGAGGTAGAAACTGGCACAAGGTTGAAAATGAAAGAACTGAGAAGTGGAGGAAGCATAAGAGCTGACACATATCTTCATATATAATGATGAGCATAACTGCAATGTATCTACCAATAGTAGTTTGGCTAAGAGAATAAAACTGGCATTGAAGTTAATTTTATCTAGTTAAATATGCCATTTTCAAGGTGGCCCTCAAAGCTGAACAAGCTGCCCACTCTTGGGGTAGAGAACAAAAATGTTTTCATTATGGATATTGAAAAAGCACCTTTACTGTTTCACATTTCTTAAACCATACCACCATCCTTGTAATTTATTACTGTACATATATCTTAACAAGTTTTTAGTGCTCATTACTTCATTATCAGAGTGTATTTTAATTACATCTACCTTGGAGAACTGTGGGCTTATTAGAAACACATAATAAATCCTTGGAAACTTGTTGCAAAGCTTTGTTAATTACTATCCTCTTAAGAATTAAATTAATCAGACAAAGTAATATAACTCTCAACTTTCCTTAGAGATTAGATATTTCCTTTTCAATCAGTGATTTCTCATATGGCTTGAATATAACAGAGACAAGCAACAGCCATCAGCAATTCACTTACAGGAGTAAGAGCCCCTTCTGCTTGGGCCTCCATTAGACTTGTGGGTGTGACAGCAAGAAGCTGGCCAACAGTTCCAACTGGGAGTTCTAGTTGATTTGTAAATTGCTCAGAAGCTGCAATACCACAACATTCAACTGCTAGATCCAGTGCTGCCCCTTCAACTGCATTCTTGCCATGAGCGCTAAACTTATCCTCTTGTGGGGACTCCTCAAGGACTTGAAGCACTTCAGGTTCATCATCGGAGGGGCTCCCAGTTGTTTTATGCCCTAAAACTCCATTAGTCCTGAAATCTTGCAAGTCCCGTTCTTTGTCCACTATCACCCATTCCTTAGAGTCAACCTCCTGCTGACAGGAACTTAAATTGATAGCCACATATCCATTGCTAACACCACCATCTCCATGTTCTGGAGAATACCCAGAAGCAGGCTTGGAACCTTCAGGAAGGTATTCTTCATCATAGTGCCAAACATGTTCATTGCAGGAGGTAACTGCAGGCAAAGGGGTTTTCTGAGAAGCAGCAGCAGATTCTTTCCTAGCATTCAACTCTCTTTTCTTCTTCTCCATGCTAGGTGGAAAAAAATATGTGACATAGCAAATTAGAATCACCTGAACATCATAACTCTTTCCATTGAAGTCTGCAACTACTTTCCAACTGTTGCAAAGAATAGGCATGAATACTGGTGAAATCTGTGCCTAAGAACAGATCAAATTAAGTCTGATGTGATATCTTGAACTGAAAGAAATTCAGCATAAATGAAACTGTTACATACCAAATTTCCAGAAATTTATCTGCGTCTGGCTTTGACTCCAAGGTCAGATGTTTTTCCAGTTCAAAACTGTGGATTGATCGTAACTTCCGAACCAAGGGGACATCCCTGTCTTGTTGTGTGGTCTCAGAACGAACTCGAATTGGAGAACCTAGGCTTGGTGCATTGAGCATGCCATTAATTAGCCCATGACTATTCTCCTCTTCTGTAGCAGCCTATAACAAAACAATACACATTAACTATAACCTTTAGGTTATAGCTGGCCAAATATAATATCTGTCAAAATATTTATGAGGAAGATACTTCAGTTCTCACATTTGACCATTTTGTAATGTAATGTGGACTCAGACACCATATGCAGTTAGACACCAAGTCAGATGACTGACTTCAGTTTAGACTGATCTTCCACCAAAGCTGGTCTTAGCTTTACAAAACAACTATCAGTTTTCACTTGTGACTAATATGAAATCTTCGTGATTTTAAAGTTACTTCTTTTATCTTAAACTGAAATTCAGATCTAAAGGATTTGATGGATATATATGCTGCATACTACTATCCAAACAAGAAAAAAATGCATGTGCCCAAATTTAACATCAATGATCAATAAATTTAATTAAACATATAAAGTAGAACAAATTTTCCAAAAACAGGTAGAAGTAGAACAATTTTTCAAAAACAGGTAGAAATTCACTGGTGAAGTTTGAAACAAGTAGAAATTCACAGGTGGAGTTTTGCCACACAACTTATGTGAATTCAAGAAAGTCCTTAATCTGAAAGGATGTAGTATTGTTCTGCCAGCTGACTCGACGGAGGGAACGTAAATGGTGAAATACTTCAGAAATTTGAAGGGAGGTTCCATGAAATAGTAGATTCTGCATTGGGAATCACTGCATTTGAATATGCTTTATGGATGTCTATATCCAGCATGATTCTTGAAAGAAAGAAAAATTACTGAAACGGATTTAGAACTGGGGGTCCGTCAAGTCAGCTGGCAGAACACTACTACATTCTTTCAGATTAAGGACTTTCTTGAATTCACACAAATTGTGTGGCAAAACTCCACCGGTGAATTTCTACTTGTTTTTGAAAAATTGTTCTACTTCTACCTGTTTTTGGAAAATTTGTTCTACTATATGTTTAATTAAATTTATTGATCATTGATGTCAAATTTGGGCACATGCATTTTCCCCTTGTTGTGCCATTGCAGCTCTTGCAGCTCTTCCACACATATTGTGCAGCTCCCGGCCAAGAAGCTGGGGAAGCGAAGGGGAGGCATGCCTTCCTGATCAGTCTTCCCTTCCCGAGCCAGTGTTCCCCTCCCTTGGTAGGCTTGAGGTAGGGGGAAACAGAAAGAAAGCAGTTTTAACTTGAAATGTGTTCTCAAAGCACCCCCCTCCCACTGGCCAGCTTGGAGAAGGCATTTGTCTCTTTAAATCCCTTCGCCAAGCCAGCTGGCATGGGGGGACTGGAGAACACATTTAAAGTTAAAGTTGCATTCTTTCCATCTCTCCCTTCCTCCTTCCCCATTTATTTGCTTTCTTTCCACCTCTCTCTCTCTTTTCCACTTCCTTCCTCTCTCCCCAACTGCTTTCTTTCCACCTTTCTTTCTCCCTCCCTTCCTTTCTCTCTCTCTCTCTCTCCCTTCCTTCCTCCTCCTCCCTCTCCCCATCTATTTGCTTTCTTTGTTTCTCTTTCTCTCTTTCTCCTTTCTTTCCACGTCTTTCATTCTTTCCACCTTTCTCTTTTTCTCTTTCTCCCTCCCCTACCTACCCATCTATTTGCTTTCTTTCTCTCTCTCCCCCTTCCTTCCTCCCTCCCCCATTTATTTGCTTTCTTTACACCTTTCTCTTTTTCTCTTTCTCCCTTCCTTCCTTTATCGGTCTTCCTTCCTTCCCCCCATTTATTTGCTTTCCTTGTTTCTCTCTCTCTTTCCACCTTTTTCATTCTTTCTTTTCATCTCTCTTTTTTTCTCTCTCTTAGACAAATAAATATCATTGGACAAATAAATACCATTATCAATATCTGTTTTACCCCTTTTGTTTTTATTTTTGGCAGTCTCATTTAATGTTAATAAAAAGCCAATTTGTATATTTTCCAATAAAAATGTGTAATATCCGTTCATGCCTTGTGGCTCTCAAGCATCTGACATTTATTCTATGTGGCTCTTCATTAAGCAAGTTTGGCTACCCCTGCCCTAGTTTTTCAGGAGCCATTAACTGGCCAGTACTGGGAAGTATAGTGCACTGTTTTGATCCAGCAAGAAAGACAAAACAGGTTGCTTACCTGTAACTGATGATCTTCGAGTGGTCATCTGTGCAGTCACACCTATGAAATGATGCGCCTGCGCTGATCCGAATCGGTGGTATGCAAAGCTCACAAAGGGATTTTCGCGCCTCCCTCCCAGGCATGCGCGGGAACCCCACTGCGCATGCCCAAGGAGGTGGGGCGCGGACATCCCGCCAGTTCCTTCTGACCGCTGTCATGTCAATAACCAGAGAAGAAATAATGAAGTGACAGCAGTGGGGAAGGATGGGCGGGTGGTGTGACTGCACAGATGACCACTCGAAGATCATCAGTTACAGGTAAGCAACCTGTTTATCTTCTTCATGGTCTCTGTGCATCACACCTATGGGAGATGGAAAAGCAGTGGCTCACCTGGAGGTGGGAGCTGTCACAAATTCAATGCTCTGCCGACGAAAGAACTAAATGACCCAGGTCCACTCTGTAGCGTTCACGAACATCAACAGCGTAGTGTTTGATAAAAGTGTTCAGAGTAGACCATGTCGCAGTCCCGCAGATGGCCGACAGGGAAGCACCCTTCAAGAAGGCTGTAGATGTAGCCATGGATCTTGTAGAGTTGCAAGGGCAACGGGCATTTAGCCAACTGGTAGCACAGCTGAATAGTTTCCACAATCCATTTGGAGAGACGTTGTGCTGAGATCTTTCGTCCTGCCAAGTGATTTGAGTAGAAGACATATAAGTTATTGTCCCTCCTACTCGTACGTGTCCTATTCAAGTAAAAAAAGTAGCGCCCTCCTCACATCAAGGGTGTGGAGGAGACGTTGTTGGTCATCTTCCGAGTTAGGGAAGAAGTCAGACAATAAGATCTCTGAGGAGAGGTGGAACTCGGGGACCACTTTAGGCAGGAAAGTGATGTCAGGCATCTATCTCACTCCATCCTGCAAGAAGACAAGGAAAGGTGGGTCATGACGAAGGGCCACTAGTTTGCCCACCCTCCTGGCCAAGGTAATGGCAATGAGAAATGCAGTTTTCCATGCTGCAAGTTTGAGATCACAAGTTGCCATAGGATCAAAGGGCTTCTCCCTTAGATGCTGCAGTACCAGCAGCAAGTCCCACAAAGGTACTGGCGTACAGATCGGTGGATATAAGTGGAGGAGAACCTTGAGGAACCTCTTTGAGATTGGGTGAGAAAAAACTGAGAAACCGTAGATACCGGAATGGTAGGCAGAAATCACTGACAAATACACTCTGATTGAGGAGTGTGAGAGGCCCTTGTCTGCCAGAGAAAGAAGAAATTCCAGGATCCGGTCAAGTTTGACAGAAATTGGAGGCACATCCAAGGGCTGCAAAAAGGCCAAGAACCGAGACCACTTCCAACTGTAGGAACGTCTCGTAGAGTCCTTTCTGGCATTCAGTAAGACATTCTCAACCCTGTCTGAAAATGTCAAATGTCCACAAGATAGGCTGTCAGGTTGAGTTTGTGGACCTCATAGAACAGGAGCGCTCCTCCCTCTGACAGGAGCAGATCTGGCACCTGAGGAAAAGGATGACGATCCCTGGTCAATGTGAGTAGGTTGGCGACCCAAGATTGTCTCGGCCACCAGGGGGCAATAAGGATGCACCTCGTGTGTACCGCCATGAGTTTTGGGATTGTCCGTAACAATGAAGGCAGAGGAGGGAACATGTAGAGAAATTTGTTGTTCCACAGGTAAAGGAGCCTGTCTCCCAAGGCCTTGGGATTCTGAGCCCCTCTGCAACAGAACAGGGCACACTTGGAACTGTCCCAGGTGACAAAGACATCTACGTGAGGTGTACCCCACTTCTAGAACACAGGACTGAGGTAGGTCCAGTTCAGCTCCCAGTCGTGGCGGTGAGAGAGACCCCTGCTGAGCAAGTCCACATGGACGTTGGCACTGCCAGCAATGTGGGGGGCGATGGGATAAATGTGCAGGGGAATGCACCAGGCCCAAAGTCCCAGTGCCAGACGGCAGAGACTGCAGGAGACTGTTCCGCCCTGCCTGTTGATGTAGCTGAGGGCTGTTGTATTGTCTGTTAGGACAGACAGACATTTTCCCACTAACAGAGGTTGGAAAGATTGGAGGGCCAGCTTGATAGCGAGAAGTTCCAGATAATTTATATGGTTTCTCGAGGTCGAAGCATCCCACTTGTGGCCTATGGAGTGGCCGTTGACGTGGGCTCCCCATCCCCAAAGTGAGGCATTGGTTGTGAGAGTGAGGCCAGGAGTGGAGGAACAAAACGGGACACCTTGTGTCATATTATTTGCCAGAGTCCACCAGAGAAGGGAGTCCCGTGCTTCCCTTGACGGAGAGAGACGAGCCACTTGAGACATTCTTAGGGGCTTGAAGTGCTAAACGAACCAGAGCTGGAGTGGACGCATGTGTATCCTTGCAAATCGCAGGACTACAGTTGTGGCTGCCATGAATCCCAACAGGCATTGAATTTGTAAAGCCGATGAAGTTTCCTGGAGCCGGACTTGGTCCGCGAGGGCGGCTAGAGTGAAAGTTCTGTCCTTGGGGAGGAAGGCCTTGCCTTCAGTGGAGTCCAGTATCACCCCAATGAGCTGCACTCTCTGACAAGGAATCAGATGCGACTTCTTGTGGTTGACCCGGAGGCTGAGGTTCCAAAGGACGTTTAGGGCCTGAGATACCTGGCGTGAGAGGAGGTCCTTGGAAGATGCGACCAGAAGCCAGTCATCCAGATACGGGAATACCGTCAAGCCACAGAGGCGAAGGTGTGCCACCACCACCACCACCATAGTCTTGGTGAAGACACGAGGTGCCGTGCTGAGGCCAAACAGTAGACTTCTGTATTGGTAGTGGCTTCCTCCTATCGCGAATTGGAGGTATTTTCGATGGGGAGGGTGGATAGTTAGATGGAACTAGGCATCTTCGAGGTCGAGAGTGGCCATCCAGCAGTTCCTGGACAGGAGAGGTAAAATTACCAGTAGAGATGTCATTTTGAATTTCCGGTATTGTATATAAGCGTTGAGGCCGTGGAGTTCTAAAATCGGCCTCTGCCCGCCATCTTGTTTGGGCACCGTAAAGTAACAGGAATAAAAACCCTGGCCCTGGTGGTCTAGAGGCACAGGTTCTATGGCACCCTTTGATAAAAGCATGGCTACTTCCCTTAGGAGACATGACGACGGCGGAGTAATGACGACTACTGGAAGAGGTGGAAACTCTAGGAACTCTATAGAATAGCCAACCGTGAGGATGGAAAGGACCCATTGGTCCGATGTGATGGCATCCCAGGCATGAAGAAATAGGAAGAGGCGGGTAGGGACGGAAAAGGTTGGGAGATGGCAGTCAAAGGCCCTGTTTGCTGGCCATCGGTAGCTTCGGTCTGGCTTGTTGGCCAGAGTCGTATCTTTGTCTGGACTGATATTGTTGTCTGTTTGCAGATGAAGATTGACGTGGTCTATATTCTTCCTCCAGAGATGATTTTGTGAACTGATGCTTGGAATCATTCCTTGACCATGAACGAGGACGAAAGGGTTTAGACGAAGGGGTGACACCTAGTGACTGTGATGACTTTATACTTTTGTCCATTTCTTGCAAGGCCAAATCCGTGGAGGCATTAAAAAGGCCTTGACCATCAAAAGGAAGGTCCTCTATATACGACCTAGTATCTGCAGGAAGTGAGGTGTTTCTCAGCCAAGAATGTCTTCTAAGGGCTATTGCTGAAGACATTGTCTTAGAACATGAGTCCAAAGTATGCTTGGACGAGTTGATTATTTGCTTGGATAATAACAATTCTTCTTTTTGAAGCTTTCTCACCTCCTCAGGGAGCAACAACACAAATTCTGCAAAGCGTTCCCAGAGGGCATATTCATAGCACCCCATACAGGCTAAATAGTTAAGATGTTTTAATGCCAAGGAATAAATGTTTTAATGCGGAATAAAAGCGTCTGCCCATGGAATCCAACTTTTTACTCTCCTTATCTGTAGGAGTGGCATGAGTAAGCTTGGCCTTCGAGGAGGATGACACTATCATTGAATTGGGCTTGGGACGAACCTGGCGGAATTCTGTGTCCGACTCTTGGATCTTGTACATATGGTCAAGACGACGAGACGACACCAGTATCGAAGATGGCTTGTTCCATGTAGCTTTAGCCGCCTCTAAAAGGACAGATGACATCGGTAGGGTGATCAATGTGGAGGTATCCAATTGTACCACATCCAAATCCATGTCCAACATAGATGGTTGATGTTGCACAATCGATAGCCCAAGCGAAAGAGCCATCCGCTTTATAAGATCCCCATACGAGGAGAGGTCCACAGAAGGGGAGATGGGCAGGTTATCAGCTACCTCTTGATTTGGTGAATCCCCCGCAGGGAATTTTGGCCACTCTGAAGCTTCAGTGTAAGAATCCGAGTTTGAAGATTCCGACGATGATCCCAGCATCGGAAGCGAGGGCACGGTGTTGACTTGTACCTGAGTGCTCAATATCGGCGCCGTCTGTGTTCGGACCTCAGGCTGAATAGGCGATAGAGGATGCTCCTCAGGCGGCTTGGAAACAGTCGCCGATGGTTTGGATCTTCGTTGGGGAGAGCGGGAGCGACATGACCTACAGTCCCAATCAGATTGTGGACATGGCATCATCCATGGCATTGGCGTCAACATTGGGTGCGACGAGAACCAAAGCGGCATATGTTGCCTATGGTCCCAATGAGGCGGAAAAGGAGGCTCCAGGTACGTCGGAGAATCTCGACTTTCTCCTGGGCAAATAAGAAAATCTCGGTCTAGATGAGAATCTTCAGACCGATATCGACTCTCCACACCGAGGGGAGCTGGATCGACGTTCTCCACGCCTGGGGGAGCTCGAAGGATGATCCATACGTCCACGGGACCAAATAGACATTCTCCCCACCTTGGGGATCTGGCAGGATGGGGGAAACATCCCTAGAACGACCTCCTGACCACGATACAAATGATGGCGACCTATCTCGAGACCGTCGGTTCGGGATTACCTGTAGCACCTCCACTGGCGACTTGGGGCATGAAGTCATGGAAAGCTCCGATACCAGGGGTTTCAACTGTCGTACAGGGGAGTCCAGCAGTACAATTGGCGGAGGGACAATCAGCTCCGGTATCAGAGTAATCACGATGTCGGGGTGCACCCGCTGGAGAGGGGGTAATGCAGAGCCTGCGTGTTTCCCAGCACCGCTCAGAGTGTGAGACTTCTGCACAGTTTTTTTGGGATCAGATTTCTTCACCTTCTCATGCTCCTTCTTCTTCCTCTTTTTTGCCGGAGTTGAGGCAGAAGAAGTGTCCTTAGGAGCTGAACACTTGAAACGTGTACTCAAAGCAGATGTCGACTGTAGACAAGCTGGTAAGGCCAATGTCAAGGACTCCGATATTGTCGGAGGCGCCAGCGGTTGGGCATCAGTAGAAGTCTCCAACGACATTTCCCCAGAAGGCAGGGGGGTAAGTGCAGATTCCCAAAGTGCCACTCGGAGTCTAGCAGCTCTATTTTTTCGGGGTTGGTTCGAAAACTTGGTGCAGTGACAACAAGTCTCCGGACAGTGTGTCTCCCCAAGACACAGTATACAAAGGGTGTTACCATCCTTCAGGGCAAGTTTACTTCCACAACCGGTACACCTTTTAAAGCAGCCACACTTCTTGGCCATAAAATAAAGCAAATTAGCCAGAAGTAAAAATAAGAAAAAAACAATTCCTCAGATGAGCCGAATGAATTTTTTTTACCTCAGGTGGAGAAAGGGGGGGGACCGCCTGAGGTAGCGGCACTCCTCAAAAGGTTTGTTGTTGGGGGTTTCTTTGGTTTTAACAAAAGAAGAAGAAAGACAAAGTCCAAAAAGAACAACTTTGAGAACGATCTAACGGATCCCTCGTGAGAGGCAAGAACGCTTCGTCACGGACCGGCAGAAAAACGAACTGTTAACAGCGCAGCGGTCAGAAGACAACTGGAGGGATGTCCGCGCCCCGCCTCCTTGGGCATGCTCAGTGGGATTCCCGCACGTGCCTGGGAGGGAGGCGCGAAAATTCCTTTGTGAGCTTTGCATACCACCAATTCGGATCAGTGCAGGCACATAATTCCATAGGTGTGATTAACAGACACCACGAAGAAGATCAAAAATGCTTACACAGTAGAAGCAAGAAACAGTTGAATGTTATTGTCATATCAGTTACATGACTTACTTTATGGATTCCCAGTTGTATCTTATTCCTGTTTGCATCCATCTCCTCCCATACATCCTTTTCCTGAGGGCGATGATGTCCAGGAGACTCTGGTAACTTCTCTGGAGATATTCCAATAGGGATACCGTTCTCACCATCACTTAGCTGCTCATCTGGAAATACTTCATCTGTGTTTTCTCTCAACAAGTCTCCTGGTATTGGGGTGGCATTGGCAATTCTATAAATCATGAAAAGATGCACAAATGTATTTAAAGTAAGGCTGCAGCACTATTATTATTATTATTATTATTATTATTATTATTATTATTATTATTATTATTAACTGCTTTTTATTAACTAATTAACCACTTGTTTTATTAACTGATTAATCACTTCCAAGCAATTATATACTGCTCCTGATAAATCATGAGCCATTTTGTATTAAGCACCCCCTTTTCTCTCTGTTTTCTTTCCCCTTTTAAATTGCCATTTCCCTTGGCACCACCCTTCTTGAATGAGTCTTAATGCTTGTTGCTGATCTTCACAAGATGTTGCTCCTAGGGGACATGGGACCCTTAGGAATTACATGAGGAGTGTATGCAGTTTGAAGGGGGAAATTCAGTGGAAACTCCCAATTTAGTCTGGAATCTCAATGTTCCCTCTAAGCTGTGGAGTCTTGTGAGCAAAAATTCTACTTTGTGAACTACTGGAATTAAAGTTGTGAGCAGGCGATTTGCCTATTGCATCAATTAGTTTGCTCTAGAGCCATCCTTCCTGAGCTAAGACAAAAATGTGTGAGCTTGAGGCTAAAAAACTGTGAGCTAGCTCACACTAACTCAGCTTAGAGGGAACACTGGTCTGGATCCCACCCAATACCAATTTCTATTCTTTTTCTGAACTTGCATGGAATCACAAAATGTACACAGACCTGATCAAAATCCTATGAAACAAATCCAAACATTTAATATTAATCAGAATCAGAGGGTAGCAGAGTGGACAGAAGGACCAATGGCATTAATTCTCCAGATCAAGCTTGAGTAAGATTTTCTGACATTTACCTTTGGTTAAGGATTATGGTCTGGAGCCTAACTATGTTTAATGAAAGAAGAGTGCATTTCTACCAAGAAAAGCACAGGAGGGAGGTCTTTACCAATTCTCCCTACCAGTACAGATTCCCACTTCACCCCTCATGTTGCTCTTAGGTTCCACTGTTCCCTGGAGCATGATTGTGAGTGGCACAGCAAGTTGTAGTGCATATAGGCGGGCAGAAGAGATCAGAAAGTTTGCTTCCCCAAATACCACTCTGCTCATGCTGAACAGGATTCCAAGTATTTGCAGAGCTTCTCTAGCAAAATACATTTCCATCAACCTTTACCAATATTATTCATGGTTGACACTGTTCAAGATTTACTAGTGACCCCAGATTTTGTACAGTTAATTCCTTATCCCTTAAACGTAGAAGGGCTGGAATATACTGTATCTTTATCAAACTTAAATGTGCTAGCACTTCACATGGTATGGACCCTAAGTCATGACGAAGTTTAAAAGAGTGCTTCTGGGCGTATACCCTGCATCTTTTCCTTATCATTAAGCAATCAGTCAGACCCCACATGTGTAATTAGAGGGCACTGTATTCAAGTAAGAGGATGCTGCTCCCAGAAAAGTACAACCCTTCTTTTCTTAAGGAAGACTCAACTGTACTTAGTTGTGGAAGCTCCTTGGACATTGCCTGTCAGAGAGATTGAGTGCAAACCATGAACTTGAAATCTGAGGCTGGGATTTCACCTATTAAGCCACCACAGGATTGTGCCCATCAGGCTTCAGAGTCTTTTTCTAGCACAGAAAGTAACACAGGTGCATAACACTCATCTCTGAAACTGGCAGGCAGTATGAGGCCTGTCATAATTTCTAGGAGCCTGTCTTCTTTTCCCTGTTCAAAGCAATAGCTGCAATTCAGATTTCAATTTCTTCCCGCTCAAACCACTGACCTCAGAGACCCTGAGCTCAAAGAATACATTCAGTTCTAGACTAAAGAAGAGACTCTCATGGCCAGCACTGCCAGCCAAAATGAGCTCAACCTGTTCTCACTGTCTGTACTCTTTTCTGCATGTTGTGCTGTGGCTTGAGGAGGATGTCAGTGGCTCTACGCCAACTCCAGTTCAGCACATAGGAAGACAGGGTAAAGTGGTGCACTTTGGTCTTGCCACTACCTCAAAAATACTATTCCACAGGGTGGGAATATCTAACCTGAATTGTAAATTGAAATGAGGATGTTTGTCACCTGTAGCCACCAGGATTGGAAGAAGGATTACAGAGGCTAGTAGGAGTAGCCACAATGCTGATGCTAAAGGGAATGCCAAAAAATCTGGAGCTGGCCCTGCTATTCCAAAAAGATGGTGTAGTCATGCAGCAGGTGGTACATTATGAGTGCAATGACTACAGTTCATGTCTTAGATTCATATTAGTATCACTGCAGATTAATATGCTAATTACAATCAGCTATCAAAGACTATGGATGATCCAATTCTGTTAATATTGCCCTTCAAAATAGAAATTTAGCAACCTGCGTTTTTTTTGCATTCCAAGCCACAATAAGGACATAGAACAAAACTCTTTACTTAATGCCAATGGGATCACTAAATCCATTTACAGCAAAAGCACTTTGAGAGGAGACCAAAGCAACTGAATTTTCTCAGCAAAATCTAGAATGTTTATACTTGTCGACACCTGCTTGTGAAGAGAACATATCTGGTTTTCTCATTATTGAAGTAATACGATGGTAAGTTTTCCTTGCTTACAGAGGTATTAAATTGAAACCTTTTCTACAATTGCAGTTGGCAACCTTAACAGTAAAACTGAACACAGACAAAAAAAGAGCTTCACATGCTACATCATTAAATAGCTAACATGAACTGAAATGCTCCAACATACCCTATTGCAGCTGGGGTCTGTCGAGTATGCAGCTGAGGAGTAGTTGAAGTGGTGGTGGTAGTTAGAGAGCCATCAGTTCCACTCTTTTCCCAGTCAAAGGGATCACTCTCTGTCACTCCATAAGTCTTCATGCTGTTGTCGAACACGGACATGAGAAGCTATTAAAAACAAAGAGAGTTGATAAATCCTATTCAAGTGAGTAGGAAAATAATTTCGTTTAACAAAGTCCTATCTTGAACTTTGAAAGGTAGACTGCATATAACACACACATCAAATATTCCTTATTGCATAGACTTAAATAGGGATGAGCACAGGGGGTGGGAATCAGTATTTTTTGGATCTGGATTTCAGGGAGAACGTAATTATAGGTATTCCAGATTACCTGGGTCTCCAATACCATTTTAGTATTAAAATTCTTTTCAGAATGCAGAAATTATTAGGGCACGTTATTCCTTATGGGGAATCTTTCCAGAGGAGAGTAGTAGCTGTTTTTCAGGCAAAGGACACTAAAACTGCAGCAGAGTGGATGCTTCCTGTCTATTAAAAAGCACACAGGTTTCAAAAGAATTGGACCAAGGGATCCAATGCTATGGGCCCCTGAAAAAGGTGACTTCAGCCATCTTCCATTGTTTCCTATGCAGAAAAAATTCCATGCTATCTTTAGGGCAAAGAATAGCCAAACACAAAAGAGCAAGCAACCATTGGCCAAAAGCTTTCCAACTGAAACAGAACCAACAAGCCCAACAGAACCAGCATCAAACTAGAGAATCCCAGCAGACCCACAGGCCATTTTGGCAACTTCAACACATCCACTGTCTAACCAGAGAATCCAAGCCAAACCACCTGAAGTAAGGGAAGGGTCTAGCCCAACAAAACCAATGCCAAACCACAGAAGCCAAATAGAACCCAGGGCCAATGTGACAGTGCAAGCCCAACAGAATCTCAAACCAGAGAATCTACCAGAAGCAACCTGACAAGCTCACCCTACCCGGTGATCCCATTTGCCTGTGAGAGCTGCCACCCCCACTCCTGTTGTCCTGGAAATCTGCCAAAAAAGCCCAAGTTTGCTGCTCCAAATTTTTCCAGGAATACTGTACAGAATCCCAAATGTGGATCTGGATCCCAAATATATCCATCTATATATTCAGACTGGATATATCCACATGCACATCCCTAGAATTAAATACTATCACTATTAACATACACAAAGAATTGTACTGGTGATTTTTTTAGGAAGGTGCTGTAAACTAAGGCAAGAACCCAGGAAACAGAAGAACCATCAGACATCTAAGCAAGTGATCATATTTACTTGGGAAAGCCAATATAAGAACTTCTTGCTTCCATATGAAGCAACCTGTCAGTTAAGTTCTATGCCATAGCCCAGGGGTGGCCAAACGTCCTTAACATAACAGCCACACAGAATAAACGTCAGATGTTTGAGAGCCACAAGTCATGAACAAATATTGTGCACACATTTTTATTGAGAAATATGCACTTTTTTTTTATTAACATTAAATCAGACTGTGTGAAAGAGCCGCATGCAGCTCCCGAGCTGCAGTTTGGCCACCCCTGCCATAGCCCTTCTCTGAGTATCCCCAAGTTAAATGGGTGGCTGTTGAAGTGAAGGCCTTTTATGTGGTGGTGCTCTGGTTGCAGAACTCTTTCACTACAGAAACTGGTAGATGCCCATATTACCTTTTAGATGCCAGATAAAGACTGTCCTTTTCATGACACACAGGGACATCAGTTTCTATGTAACTTCTGGTATTACTGTTTCCGCTCTGTTAAATGTATCAATATGTTCTGTTGTATTGCAGGGAATACAAATAATAGTAACCTGATGACCAATGCTTATTCACACTTGTCACAAACCCAAGTTATGTTCCCTCACAACTAGATCATTTTAAAATGTCTGTTCCACATCAGGTGACTGGATTTACTCTTGCATTTTAAGTTCACGCAGTTATGTAGCTTGTTCTTCTATTCTGAAGTACAATTTAAAAAGAATTTTAGATGTCTGAGTTCATGTTCACAGTTGTATTGATTGACCTCAATGCTTTATCGCCTTTCTACATCCCGTGTTTAGGTTTGCCCTTTCCTTTTTTTGAATTCTGACCTTGAAAAAATACCTTTTCTTTCTTATACTTATTTAAAATATTGTATTGGAGGTAAAGTCAAAATCGTAAAATGAGAAATGTAACATTTAAACATGACAATACTGGGGATGAGTGAACTAAAGTGGACTGGATTAGGACATTTTCAATCAGAAAATTACAAAGTGTTTTACTCTGGAAATGACAAACACAGAAGAAAAGTTCCTATACTAGTGAGGCAACATTTAGCACAAACAGTCAGAGGCTATAATGCAAAGTGTGACCAACTAAGAATGACAGATTCCATCAAAGAAGATTTTTTTGAAGAACCACCTACAGTGTCAGAAAGTGAATCGAAAGCTGCACTGAGAGCAACTGGGAGAAACAAATCACCAGGAGTAGATGGGATATCAATAGAGCTATTCCCAGGCACAGAAATGGAGTTCATCAAAATCTGAACAAGAATATTCCAACAGACATGGAAAACAAAACAATGGCCCACAGACTAGAAATGCTCAATTTACATTTCAGTTCTGAAAAAGGAGACATCAAAGACTGCAGCAGCTATTGGACCATCGTATTAATTTCTCATGCAAGTAAAGTGTTGCTCAAAATCTTACAACAAAGACTGTTAGCTTATATGGAACAAGAAATGCCATATGTTCAAACTGAATTCAGAAAAAGAAAAGGCACGAGAGATCATATTGCAAATTTACATGGTTACGGCGGCCTATGAGAGAATTTTAGAAGAAAATCATCTTCTGTTTCATTGATTACAGCACAAGTTATGGCTGGTTTTGAAAGAAATGGGTGTACAACAATGTCTGATTGTTTTGGTGCACAACCTGTACTCCGGACAAGAGTCTACTGTTAGGACAGTATATGGAGAAACAAAATGGTTTCCAATTGGCAAAGCTGTGAGACAAGGATGTACTTCATTTCCCTGTCTGTTCTACTTGTATGCAGAACATATCACAAGGATAGCTGGATTAGATTTGGATGAAGGTGGAGTGAAAATTGGTGGAAGGAACATTAACAATTTGAGATATGCAGATGACAGCATATTATGGGCAGAAAACAGTGAAGATCTGAAAAAGACTGACTCAACCAAGGAAGCCACAGTCCTCAATTTTCAAGACCTGAACAAGGCTATTAAGGATAGGATGTTTTGGAGGTCATTAAATTCAGAGGGTCGCCATAAGTCAGAAATGACTTGATGACACTTCGTGAACACAAACCTCTTGCTTTTCTACTTTAAAAGCACTGAAGGGTATTTGCAATAAAGTTTAAAACAATACAAAATCAAGTATAAATCTAGTACAGTATGACTAATAAAACCCTAGTTATCATAATTCACTTCCAATACACAGAGCAATTTCTTAAAAAATCAAATTCTGTCAGCAAAAATAAAGACCTATTCTGCAAAGGTCTTGTCCAAACATTTATTCTTATCTATCAGAATCTTACTCTCCTCCCAATATAGTCCCTGCATCAGTTTTAAATGGCAGCAAAGAGTAAGAGATTTTGCTGACTGCTCCACAAATGTCAATTATCTTACCAAATGAGAAACATCTTTTGGAAATTCCATCACATCCTTCTGTTTGGGCCGATATTTGGCAGCCAGAATTAAATTGAAGAAAATTTTTACTAAAATTTTAATAGAATTACATAGATTTGTGTGTTATAGATATGATTGCTTATAGTTTTAGATTTGCTAAAATCTACCTACATATGTGATTATACCAGCTGTGCAATTTGCCACTCATTCATTGGGTAATCATTTCTGTGTACAGAGCAGTAGTTTCTAAGTATGGAGCTGGGTGGCAAAATTTCACATTCCCTCCCTCCAACTATTAAATTTGTACTTCTTGTCTATGATACAGGTTAAACATTGCACATGCATTGTTATACTGGAAGAGCAGCCATGTTAGTCCATTCAAGCAAGACAACTGCAATTGTCCTCAAGACCACAAATGACTTGCTGTGGCTTCTGCAGACAATTCAAGTCAGTTATAAAAAAACCCAAGGGTATGTACAAAAAAGAAATGCACTGGCAAACAAGAAGATTCAATATAAAATATCATCGATCTTCTATGACACCATCAAACTACCTCTTCAAATATTTGCAAAACTACCCAGTGAAAACATGGTATTCTGTCTGATCGGTTTATGTCTCTAACATACAGAAGTTCAACTCCTGCAGAAAAATTCAGTGGAAACCAAATTTGACTGGGATTATACCCTGTCATGACCCCAGGGGGTCGCCAGTGTTCCCACTAAGCTGAGTTAGTGTGAGCTAGCTCACAGTTTTTTAGCTTCCAGCTCACACTTTTTTGTCTGCGCTCAGGAAGGAGGGCTCCAGAGCAAACTAATTAATGCAGTAGACAAATTGCTCACTCACAACTTTCATGCCAGTCGCTCACAAAGTAGAATTTTTGCTCACAAGACTCCACAGCTTAGAGGGAACATTGGGGGTCGCCACCTTCTGCTGTCACCACCCTGGACTTCGGGTTCCTTAAGAAGGCCCAGGATACCCTCCCAAGCCCATCCAAAATGCCCCTTTTTAAGCTGAGAACATAGGTGTGATGACCAGGCAGATAACAGTTAAACAAAATGGTTTATTAACACAGTACTGGGGCAAGGAAAACAAGACAAGGTGCTTTAAAAGATCTAACAGTGTTTAAAAGGCAAAATAAACACAAACCTAACGCGACTACCTAGTTCGCTTAACTGATACTACTTCAAGGCCCACAGCCTGCCAGGCTACACTATCTGTTCTCACTCTGTCCCCAGTGGGGGATCTTTTTCTCTCACCAGACCAGCCTGTCCCCTCTGTGAGACCAGACCACAGATGAGAGACGAAAGAACGCAGTCCCGTTCAGTTTAGCTCTGAGAGAAAGAACACCGTTTTCACAGTTAACAGCTTAAGTCAGAATCTCCTCACACATCTCTGGAGACTGATTGGCTATAACCCTCTCTAAGAATTATGGGGATTGTAGGCTGTCTCTACTGCCCACAGGTCTCTTCTGGGACCAGGCCGCACTAGGCCTTGCTCCCAGTCCTGCACAGATCATGACATACCCCCTCACAAGTGTGCAGTGGTGTAGCAGGAGAGGGCTTTTGTGGAACCAGATCTTGCCTTCTCTCTACCAGGTCCTGAGACAGGGCAGTCACCTTGAGATCCAGGGTGTTGCATTTGGGTGAGAATGGCCTAGTACAAACCCAGAGATTCACATGTAGGCACAGGATAATCAGGGATTTGGAAAAGATAAAGGATTTGTTACCTGGAATTGTGATCATTTGGACCGAGCTTTTGTAAAGGCGTATTTGGAAGGGGGTGGTTAAGCCCTCAAAAATTGACAGAGTACAAAGAAAGGTGGACCTGGCTGTGTATAAGGCAGTTCTGGCTGGTGATGGGAGACTTACATCCCACACCAGGTAATCAGCTTGTATATGCCTCACTTGTACAGGGATGATGGAGTCTATCTCTCCACAGAGATATGTGATGTGTACTTGGCTGATCTATGTCAGGACCTGTGTGATGCTATTGTCAGCAGGTAGGGCAAGGGGTGTTAAGCAAGGCTAACTCCCTTGCTTGGCAGGGATAGGACGTGTTGCTCATGATAGGTAAGGGTGAGCAACAAGCACCCTGAGCCATCAGGCATGATGGAGGACATGTCTTGAACAGACCACCACTGGCATTACGGCAGGATGGGGTTTGTGAAGGAGTGCCTTTGGTATTGAGCAACATTTTTCTGAACTTGGTTGTGGTTTTACAGTGCATCAGGGAAGGGGGGTGGTACTGGGCATCTCATAACATATTACGTGTGAGCAAGGACAAACAAGGCCAGTGGTAGCCGATGGCCGAGTCTGGAGATAGGGTGGATTTGCCAGAAAATGGCATCCGTGGCAGACTGTCTAGTTCAGCCCACCCTCAATTAAATATTAACATAATTGATGATATCGATCAGCTAACTTAAACTAGTTAAGTGCTATGGTCTTGTCTCTTCATTTGGGGTACTGGGGCAATAAGCCTGTGTTGTTAGGTAAATTTAAGGAACCATTATGTTTATGTACCTATCTGAACCCATTCCACTTATTAACCATTGTGCTGTTTTACTTATAAATTATTTACGTTTAATAAACTATTTATAAGAAAGACAACTGTTTATTTTACAGTAAAGGAGCCCTTTTACCTCTGAGCCACCCCCACGTGCTGATTGTTCTGTCTACCATATACAACTACGCCATCCTGTTCTTTGGGTCCAGCTAAGAATTCTAAGGCAAGAGCCTTTAGTGGCAGTGCAAATAAGGAAAGCAAGAAGGCAACATAACACACAGGGGTCTTGTTGTAGAAAAAGAGCTGCCGGAGCTCATTAGCATAACTCATTAGCATAACTTATTTGCATATGCCACGCCCCCTGACATCACCGGAAGTGACAGAAGGCCACACCCCCTGACATCACCGGAAGTGTGTCAGAAGGCCCGGCTACTTACCCTCCTGCTTCATCCTCATTCCCAAACGGAATGAGGATCGAAGCAGAGGGCGGGGTAAAGAAGGGGCGGGGCTTCACCACGTGACCGCCCCGCCCCCTAGAGGTTCTCTTCCGGAGCTCCGTACCTGAGAGCTCCCCCCCGACTAGAGCCCTGATAACACATATCACTCTAAACACTACAGAGAGATGCCTTTACAGAGGTTATACATAAACGGGTCACGTAGAAAAAGGGGACTATGTTACTTATATCAATTTCTGCTGCTATTAAGCTTTGTTTGTTTCTTTAAACAGCTGCCTAATCAGGCTGCCAAGGAATTGTCCAGATATGATCTGACAGAAAAGAAGAACTAGGGTACAATGATAATGAACACAAACCAACTTTTATCATTGGCTGGGAGAGATATATGAATATAAATGTAAATATTTAGGAAAATGTGCTGAAATAATAAAAGGGCACTACAAACCATGGCTGAATAGGCTACACTCCCACAAGCTACAGAACTGAAAGAAGTGTTTCATGCTTCCAGTTTCAAACTATTAAAGTAATATCTGAAAAGGTTATTATTAATCTAATCTAGGGGATTTTTTGTAGAAAATATTAATTACACTATGTACTTCAGAGGTTCCATGAAAGTCAAGCCCTGGATGCACCGGAATCCATTTTCCATTGCTGTCATTTAAAGAGGAATGATATTCAGCTGTGTAATATGAGCCCTGCCAAACATACCAGAATAACAGTAAACTTTTTAATTTGAGTTAGAAGGAGGAGACCACCTCACATGTCTCTTGAGAAACCTGTATAAGGGTCAAGAAGCAACAGTTAGAACCGGGTATGGGACAACTGATTGGTTTAGCATAGGAAAAGGAGTACGACAAGGATGTATATTGTCACCTTGCTTATTTAATATATATGCAGAGTACATCATGCAAAATGCTGGCCTGGATGAATCATAAACAGGAATTAAGATTACTGGGGAAAAGATCAACAACCTCAGATATGCAGACGATACCACTCTAATGGCAGAAAGTGAAGAGGACCTAAAGAGCCTCTTGCTCAGGGTAAAAGAGGAGAGCGCAAAAGTGGGCTTGAAGCTCAACATCAAAAAAACTAAGATCATGTCATCCGGCCCCATCACTCCTTGGCAAATAGAAGGGGAAGTCGTGGAAGTAGTGACAGACTTCACGTTCCTGGGATCTCAGATCACCGCAGACTGTGACAGCAGCCATGAAATTAAAAGACGTCTGCTCCTTGGGAGGAAAGCGATGGCGAACCTAAACAGCATGATAAAAAGTAGAGACATCACCCTGCCAACAAAAGTCCGCGTGGTCAAAGCAATGGTATTCCCAGTAGTCATGTATGGCTGCGAGAGTTGGACTATAAAGAAGGCCGAGCGCCGAAGAATAGATTCTTTTGAACTATGGTGCTGGAGAAGACTCTTGAGAGTCCCTTGGACTTGCAAGAAGATCAAATCAGTCAATCCTAAAAGAAATCAACCCTGACTCTTCCCTGGAAGGCCAGATAATGAAACTGAAGCTCAAATACTTTGGCCACCAAATGAGAAGGGAGCACTCCCTGGAGAAGACCCTGATGCTGGGAAAGATTGAAGGTCAAAGAAGATGGGGACGGCAAAGGATGAAATGGTTAGACAGTGTCATAGATGCAACGAATATGAAATTGAGCAAACTTCAGAGGACAGCGGAAGACAGGAAGGCCTGGCGTGATCTGGTCCATGGGGTCGCAAAGAGTCGGACTCGACTGTGCGACTGAACAACCAAACAGAAGGAGGAGGCCCTCTACATTTGGCGTAACAAAGTATAAGTACAGTGTATTTACAATAAAATATTATTTAAAATAAAATCTTACCTGATAATCAGGTTTGGTAAAATAATCTAAAACAGAAATGTGATCTAGAAACATGTTAAATTCTTGAGGAAGGTGCTTCAACATCAGCCGGTGGTCATACCGTTCTTTTATAGAGCCTACTTGCTCCTATAAACAAAAGGGAGCAACAATTACCAAACTTTCCTTTTTCATAATAAATATTTACACACGACTACAGAGCATAAAGACCCAAGTGACGCATGATGGAGTGAGCTCCCGTCTCTGGTTCCAGCTCCTGCCAACCTAGCAGTTCAAAAGCAAGAAATTGCAAGTAGATAAATAGGTACTGCTTCCGTGGGAAGGTAACAGCGTTCCGTGTGCCTCGGCATCTAGTCATGCCAGCCACATGACCACGGAAACGTCTTCGGACAGTGCTGGCTCTTCGGCTTGGAAACGGGGATGAGCACTGCAACCCCAGAGTCGGATTCGACTGGCTTTCGAGCAAGGGAGACCTTTACCTTTACCTTTACAGATCATAAAGTACATCTCATATTCTCTTGTGCACAGTAATATCTCTAATTCTGATTTTCTGATTCCTTTATTCAATGGGTTGGATCTCATGATCTGTTGACATAAATACTGAGGATTCTTCCCGAATCCTCTCCCACAGCAATTCCTTCCAAACCCAAGAAAGCCAATTCCCAGTGCTTGCAGGACCCATGTGGACTAACAGCCATGTGGGAAAATACTCCTCTTCTGCAAGCTCCAGCTGCACTAACATAAAAGGCAGGAGTACAATTTCCCCTGTTCCTTCCACTCCTTGGTGCAGGCCTCTGACCTGTGTTGGCTATTAGTCTAAGCAGTTTCCATTACACTAGGAACCATCTTTCTATGGGTTGGTAGGGACTCCTGGAAAAAGTGGGATGCAGGAAATATCCCTGACAATCAGTGTCACAATCACAGATGATTACAGGGTCCAGCCTAATAGTTTTCTTAAATGGGTTTAAATCTTACAGCTCTACTCACTACATCTAAAACCTTCCTCCAGTGTAGCTTGACTAGAAGAAGAGCCATTGGAGGAAAGTTCCACACTTAGCTGATCAAACTTGTAAGGTCCAACCCAAGGTCAGCAGCAAGTTTTAATATGGCCCACCTTTGCTCAATCAATCAAGCACATTAGTTAAATGAAACAAATTATCTCAGTTACACCTCCCTGGCTGAACATCTGTAAAAAAGCCATTTGAAAGAACACTAAGTTTCTCCCAAATACTACAGAACCATATCTAAGTTAATTTTATCTAACAACAATTTCAAATCAAGTCTTTGATAGATATGGTGAAGGTATGAAATTCTGCGCACACACAAAAATGATTGAAGAATGAACAGATGGATTATTAATGTTACCCAAGCTAAATGAAGCCCTGTAATATGTAAGCAACTTGATTAAAAATAATTTACTAAAATAATATTTTAATATAACAAATTTGACTTAACATGGTCTGAACTAAATGATTCTCACAACGAATTTTCATGCATTCAAATACATTCTCCTCAGTTCATCTCAATTGGTACTATTTCTAATTAGACCTTGTCTTTGATTTTTCTCCAGGGAAGTTGTCCTACTACAAATTCCACCAACA